AGCAGCTGCCTCGTATGGACCAATAGGAGCTGCCTCGTATGGACCAATAGCAGCTGCCTCGTATGGACCAATAGGAGCTGCCTCGTATGGACCAATAGGAGCTGCCTCGTATGGACCAATAGCAGCTGCCTCGTATGGACCAATAGCAGCTGCCTCGTATGGACCAATAGGAGCTGCCTCGTATGGACCAATAGCAGCTGCCTCGTATGGACCAATAGCAGCTGCCTCGTATGGACCAATAGCAGCTGCCTCGTATGGACCAATAGCAGCTGCCTCGTATGGACCAATAGGAGCTGCCTCGTATGGACCAATAGCAGCTGCCTCGTATGGACCAATAGCAGCTGCCTCGTATGGACCAATAGCAGCTGCCTCGTATGGACCAATAGCAGCTGCCTCGTATGGACCAATAGCAGCTGCCTCGTATGGACCAATAGCAGCTGCCTCGTATGGACCAATAGGAGCTGCCTCGTATGGACCAATAGCAGCTGCCTCGTATGGACCAATAGCAGCTGCCTCGTATGGACCAATAGCAGCTGCCTCGTATGGACCAATAGGAGCTGCCTCGTATGGACCAATAGCAGCTGCCTCGTATGGACCAATAGGAGCTGCCTCGTATGGACCAATAGCAGCTGCCTCGTATGGACCAATAGCAGCTGCCTCGTATGGACCAATAGCAGCTGCCTCGTATGGACCAATAGCAGCTGCCTCGTATGGACCAATAGGAGCTGCCTCGTATGGGCCAATAGGAGCTGCCTCGTATGGACCAATAGCAGCTGCCTAGTATGGACCAATAGCAGCTGCCTCGTATGGACCAATAGCAGCTGCCTCGTATGGACCAATAGGAGCTGCCTCGTATGGACCAATAGGAGCTGCCTCGTATGGACCAATTGGAGCTGCCTCGTATGGGCCAATAGCAGCTGCAGCTGCCTCGTATGGACCAATAGCAGCTGAATGGACCAATAGGGCCTCGTATAGGGGGGACCGTATGGAATAGCAGCAATAGGACTGCCTCGTATGGACCAATAGCAGCTGCCTCGTATGGACCAATAGCAGCTGCCTCGTATGGACCAATAGCAGCTGCCTCGTATGGGCCAATAGGAGCTGCCTCGTATGGACCAATAGCAGCTGCCTCGTATGGACCAATAGCAGCTGCCTCGTATGGACCAATAGTGGACTAGCAGCTGCCTCGTATGGACCAATAGGAGCTGCCTCGTAGGACTGGTGTAGGACTGACTGGTGTAGGACTGACTGGTAGGACTAGGACTGACTGGTGTAGGACTGACTGGTGTAGGACTGACTGGTGTAGGACTGACTGGTGTAGGACTGACTGGTGTTGGGGCTGACTAGTGTAGGACTGACTGGTGTAGGACTGACTGGTGTAGGACTGACTGGTGTTGGGGCTGACTGGTGTAGGGCTGACTGGTGTAGGGCTGACTGGTGTAGGACTGACTGGTGTAGGGGCTGACTGGTGTAGGGGCTGACTGGTGTAGGGCTGACTGGTGTAGGACTGACTGGTGTAGGACTGACTGGTGTTGGGGCTGACTGGTGTAGGGCTGACTGATGTAGGACTGACTGGTGTAGGACTGACTGGTGTATGGCTGACTGGTGTAGGGCTGACTGGTGTAGGACTGACTGGTGTAGGACTGACTGGTGTAGGGCTGACTGGTGTAGGACTGACTGGTGTAGGGCTGACTGGTGTATGGCTGACTGGTGTAGGGCTGACTGGTGTAGGACTGACTGGTGTAGTGCTGACTGGTGTAGGGGCTGACTGGTGTAGGACTGACTGGTGTAGGGGCTGACTGGTGTAGGACTGACTGGTGTAGGACTGACTGGTGTAGGACTGACTGGTGTAGGACTGACTGGTGTAGGACTGACTGGTGTAGGGCTGACTGGTGTAGGACTGACTGGTGTAGGACTGACTGGTGTAGTGCTGACTGGTGTAGGGCTGACTGGTGTAGGACTGACTGGTGTAGGGCTGACTGGTGTAGGACTGACTGGTGTAGGACTGACTGGTGTAGGACTGACTGGTGTACTGGTGGGACTGACTGGTGTAGGACTGACTGGTGTAGGGCTGACTGGTGTAGGACTGACTGGTGTAGGGACTGACTGGTGTAGGACTGACTGGTGTAGGGCTGACTGGTGTAGGACTGACTGGTGTAGGACTGACTGGGTGTACTGGTGGGCTGACTGGTGTAGGACTGACTGGTGTAGTGCTGACTGGTGTAGGGGCTGACTGGTGTAGGGCTGACTGGTGTAGGGGACTGACTGGTGTAGGACTGACTGGTGTAGAACTGACTGGTGTAGGACTGACTGGTGTAGGACTGACTGGTGTAGGGCTGACTGGTGACTGACTGGTGTAGGGCTGACTGGTGTAGGACTGACTGGTGTAGGACTGACTGGTGTAGGACTGACTGGTGTAGGACTGACTGGTGTAGGACTGACTGGTGTAGGGCTGACTGGTGTAGGACTGACTGGTGTAGGACTGACTGGTGTAGGGCTGACTGGTGTAGGACTGACTGGTGTAGGGGCTGACTGGTGTAGGACTGACTGGTGTAGGGCTGACTGGTGTGACTGGTGTAGGGCTGACTGGTGTAGGACTGACTGGTGTAGGACTGACTGGTGTAGGACTGACTGGTGTAGGACTGACTGGTGTAGGGACTGACTGGTGTAGGACTGACTGGTGTGACTGACTGGTGTAGGGCTGACTGGTGTAGGGCTGACTGGTGTACTGACTGGTGTAGGACTGACTGGTAGGGCTGACTGGTGTAGGGCTGACTGGTGTAGGACTGACTGGTGTAGGGACTGACTGGTGTAGGACTGACTGGTGTAGGACTGACTGGTGTAGGACTGACTGGTGTAGGGCTGACTGGTGTGTAGTAGGCTGACTGGTGTAGGACTGACTGGTGTAGGACTGACTGGTGTAGGGCTGACTGGTGTAGGGCTGACTGGTGTAGGGCTGACTGGTGTAGGACTGACTGGTGTAGGGCTGACTGGTGTAGGACTGACTGGTGTAGGACTGACTGGTGTAGGGCTGACTGGTGTAGGGCTGACTGGTGTAGGACTGACTGGTGTAGGGCTGACTGGTGTAGGACTGACTGGTGTAGGGCTGACTGGTGTAGGACTGACTGGTGTAGGACTGACTGGTGTAGGACTGACTGGTGTAGGGCTGACTGGTGTAGGGCTGACTGGTGTAGGACTGACAGGAGTACTGGTGTAGGACTGACTGGTGTAGGGCTGACTGGTGTAGGGCTGACTGGTGTAGGACTGACTGGTGTAGGACTGACTGGTGTAGGGCTGACTGGTGTAGGGCTGACTGGTGTAGGACTGACTGGAGTACGACTGACTGGTGTAGGGCTGACTGGTGTAGGGCTGACTGGTGTAGGACTGACTGGTGTAGGACTGACTGGTGTAGGACTGACTGGTGTAGGGCTGACTGGTGTAGGACTGACTGGTGTAGGACTGACTGGTGTAGGACTGACTGGTGTAGGACTGACTGGTGTAGGACTGACTGGTGTAGGGGCTGACTGGTGTAGGGCTGACTGGTGTAGGGCTGACTGGTGTAGGGGTTGACTGGTGTAGGACTGACTGGTGTAGGGGCTGACTGGTGTAGGACTGACTGGTGTAGGACTGACTGGTGTAGGACTGACTGGTGTAGGGCTGACTGGTGTAGGGGCTGACTGGTGTAGGACTGACTGGTGTAGGGCTGACTGGTGTAGGACTGACTGGTGTAGGACTGACTGGTGTAGGGGCTGACTGGTGTAGGGGCTGACTGGTGTAGGGCTGACTGGTGTAGGACTGACTGGTGTAGGACTGACTGGTGTAGGGACTGACTGACTGGTGTAGGACTGCTGGTGTAGGGCTGACTGGTGTAGGGCTGACTGGTGTAGGGGCTGACTGGTGTAGGGCTGACTGGTGTAGGGGCTGACTGGTGTAGGGCTGACTGGTGTAGGGGCTGACTGGTGTAGGGCTGACTGGTGTAGGGCTGACTGGTGTAGGGGCTGAGTGGTGTAGGGGCTGACTGGTGTAGGGGCTGACTGGTGTAGGGGCTGACTGGTGTAGGGGCTGAGTGGTATAGGACTGAGTTAATGACGTAATTATGCCTTTAATCTTAACTTCCTGGTTCAAAAGACCACCATTGTATATAGAGTCTAACGTGTATGAATACACTCAGGCTTCCTGTCCCTCCGACACAATGAACTATTATTAATTATTAATATACGGAAAGGTCTTTATAGGTGAGTAAATAGAGCCTTGGTTAGTGGAGAGTGAGACAATGATCAGGATATGAAAGGTTTACCCCACGGAAGGTCAGGGTCTTGGAGGAAATGTCAACAGGTTAGCCTTCACCTTCCTGTTGCTCTGGGCACGTTAGGTACCTGGGCACCTCTGGTGGGTACCTGGGCACGTCTGGTGGGTACCTGGGCACCTCTGGTGGGTACCTGGGCACGTCTGGTGGGTACCTGGGCACCTCTGGTGGGTACCTGGGCACGTCTGGTGGGTACCTGGGCACGTCTGGTGGGTACCTGGGCACCTCTGCTGGGTACCTGGGCACGTGTGGTGGGTACCTGGGCACGCTGGGTATCTGGGCACGTGTGGTGGGGTGTGCCCACACCTCTTGGAGGCTCTTTTGTTTTTGTTTTTTTTGGAGGGGAATCTAAATTGTGTTGGGGTTCGAAAAGTCTGATCTTCACACGCATACACACACTCACACACTCAAACGCGCGCACACACACTCACTCAAACACACACACACACACACACACACACACACACACACACACACACACACACACACACACACACACACACACACACACACACACACACACGCACACACACACACACACACACACACACACGCACATAGGAACCTATACACCAGTTGATTGACGGTTGATTGAGGCGGGACCAAAGCGCCAAAGCTCAACCCCAACAAGCACAAATATGTGAGTACAATTAGGTGAATACTCGGGCACCTATTTATTGCAAGCTGAACAGATGAACTAGTTGAAAGAAAACGTGCCCAACCGTTCCTGTCCCGGCTGGAATTCGAGGCTAATATAACCATCTTTGAAGGATGGTTTCAGACCAGAGTAGTAAGTGAAGCTGTACATCGCCACAGTCTTAATGTCTTAATGGGTTGTTAATGGCTTAATGGGTTGTTATATAACTCCTTGGTGGGTGATGAGGAGCAGTTGGTGATATTAGAGAGCCTAAGAGGCGGGGCCCAAGAGCCGGCACCCGACCGTGGTGTGGGAGGCCAGGCTGGGGGCAGCTACTGGCTCTAAGAATCACCAGTTCCTTTACATTAACAAATTCCTGAGCAGGTTGCCCGAGGCAGCCGGCGGCTTGTCGCCTTGCTGCCCGCCTGATGTTACCTCACACAGTGCACAGTTACAACCACAACAGACCGCTGGAACATTATCTAACACAGTGCACAGTTACAGCCACAACAGACCACTGGAACATTATCTAACACAGTGCACAGTTACAACCACAACAGACCACTGGAACATTATCTAACACAGTGCACAGTTACAGCCACAACAGACCACTGGAACATTATCTAACACAGTGCACAGTTACAACCACAACAGACCACTGGAACATTATCTAACACAGTGCACAGTTACAGCCACAACAGACCACTGGAACATTATCTAACACAGTGCACAGTTACAGCCACAACAGACCACTGGAACATTATCTAACACAGTGCACAGTTACAGCCACAACAGACCACTGGAACATTATCTAACACAGTGCACAGTTACAGCCACAACAGACCACTGGAACATTATCTAACACAGTGCACAGTTACAGCCACAACAGACCACTGGAACATTATCTAACACAGTGCACAGTTACAGCCACAACAGACCACTGGAACATTATCTAACACAGTGCACAGTTACAGCCACAACAGACCACTGGAACATTATCTAACACAGTGCACAGTTACAGCCACAACAGACCACTGGAACATTATCTAACACAGTGCACAGTTACAGCCACAACAGACCACTGGAACATTATCTAACACAGTGCACAGTTACAGCCACAACAGACCACTGGAACATTATCTAACACAGTGCACAGTTACAGCCACAACAGACCACTGGAACATTATCTAACACAGTGCACAGTTACAGCCACAACAGACCACTGGAACATTATCTAACACAGTGCACAGTTACAAACCCATTAAGATTTCAACTTAGATTCAACAGAGCAGAAGAAGTTGTTAAACACATGGGACAAAATCTTACTGAAGCGACCATACGAGTCATAAATACTCATACTCCGCCCAAGTAAAACAGAAACAAGCAACACTTAGTGGGCCAGCCAGAGGCTTAGGGCCCGCCCAGTGGGCCAGCCAGAGGCTTAGGGCCCGCCCAGTGGGCCAGCCAGAGGCTTAGGGCCCGCCCAGTGGGCCAGCCAGAGGCTTAGGGCCCGCCCAGTGGGCCAGCCAGAGGCTTAGGGCCCGCACAGTGGGCCAGCCAGAGGCTTAGGGCCCGCCCAGTGGGCCAGCCAGAGGCTTAGGGCCCGCCCAGTGGGCCAGCCAGAGGCTTAGGGCCCGCCCAGTGGGCCAGCCAGAGGCTTAGGGCCCGCCCAGTGGGCCAGCCAGAGGCTTAGGGCCCGCCCAGTGGGCCAGCCAGAGGCTTAGGGCCCGCCCAGTGGGCCAGCCAGAGGCTTAGGGCCCGCCCAGTGAGCCAGCCAGAGGCTTAGGGCCCGCAGAGGCCAGTGGGCCAGCCAGAGGCTTAGGGCCCGCCCAGTGGGCCAGCCAGAGGCTTAGGGCCCGCCCAGTGGGCCAGCCAGAGGCTTAGGGCCCGCCCAGTGGGCCAGCCAGAGGCTTAGGGCCCGCCCAGTGGGCCAGCCAGAGGCTTAGGGCCCGCACAGTGGGCCAGCCAGAGGCTTAGGGCCCGCCCAGTGGGCCAGCCAGAGGCTTAGGGCCCGCCCAGTGGGCCAGCCAGAGGCTTAGGGGCCCGCCCGCACAGAGTTCCTCTACTCCCCAAGCCCGGCCCGAGGCCAGGCTTGAGTTGTGAGAGTTTGGTCCACTAGGCTGTGCTTGGAGCGGCCCGCAGGCCCACATACCCACCACAGCCCGGGTGGTCCGGCACTCCTTGGAGGAAACTATCTAGTTTCCTCTTGAAGATGTCCACGGATGTTCCTGTAATATTTCTTATGCTTGCTGGGAGGACGTTGAACAACCATGTTTATACAGTGTTCTCAGATTGTGCCTATGGCACCTCTGCTCTTCACTGGACCTCTGATGTTTATACAGTGTTCTCTGATTGTGCCTATGGCACCTCTGCTCTACACTGGTTCTATTCTGCATTTTCTTCCATATCGTTCACTCCAGTATATTGTAATTTTACTGTGTAGATTTGGGACCTGGCCCTCCAGTATATTCCATGTGTATATTATTTGATATCTCTCTCGTCTCCTTTCTAGTGAGTACATTTGGAGAGCTTGAGACGATCCCAATAATTTAGGTGTTTTATCTCGTCTATGCGTGCCGTATATGTTCTCTGTATTCCCTCTATTTCAGCAATCTCTCCTGCTCTGAAGGGGGGGCGGTCAAGGGTCCTGAAGCACACAGTCAAATCTCCTTTACACAACCACTTACGAAACCTGTTGATCCTTCACACAATCATATAGCGGCTGTTTACATATAATAAACAGTTTATGAGGCTTGTTAACGTTACAACCCGAGGTTGTTAATGTTGTAAACAGCCTCGTGCTGCTACGGAGCTCGTAAATGGTTTAATATATGTGAACAAGGCGGCCATAACTGAGGAAAGATGCACAGGTTTCGTTAATGGTTGATTAATCCTGGTCCAGTGGCCTGCCATCTATAGGCTCACAACACACGGGCCGGGTTCAATTCCCCAGCAGAGAGAAAAGCTTGAACACTTTCCTTTCACCTAATACATCTGTTCACCTAGCAATGAATAGATACCTAAGAAAAAGACATCTGTTGTGGGTGGCATCCTGTGAGGGGGGGGGTGTAAGTGAGCAGGGGGGGGGGGGGGTCTGGGGGGACGAGGGTGACCCCAACCGCAGGCTTCCTGACCCCAAGAACGGATCATATGGATGATAACGCCCCCCCAAGAATGGGTGATCTTGTTGACTGTGAGTGTTGGCTCCCGGCCCTTGGTGGCGGGGACAGGAAGCCTATACGTGGTCATGCGACCCCCCCCCCAGCTCCTAACCTGCCGGGGACGCCACCCACAACAGTTATCTAACTCCCGAGTACCTATTTGCCGCTAGGTGAACAGAGGCATCAGGTGTAGGTCCCATAGGTCAACTATTGACTTTTCCCTCTATTATCTTTAGGTTCGGGTGCCCAGATGCCCAACCACTTGGGGTGGACGGTAGAGCGACGGTCTCGCTTCATGCAGGTCTGCGTTCAATCCCCGACCGTCCACATTGGTTGGGGCACCAATCCTTTCCCACCGTCCCATCCCTTATCCTGACCCCTTCCCAGTGCTGTATAGTCCTAATGGCTTGGTGCTTTCTCCCTTGATAATTGCCTTGTCAGTGTACGTGATCAGCGAGGCTGTGAGTGCCGCAGTCTGCACAACAAGGCCGTGACGTCACTTGTGGCGGAGCCTGTGACGTCACTTGTGTAGGTGCCTGTGACGTCACTTGTGGCGGAGCCTGTGACGTCACTTGTGTAGGTGCCTGTGACGTCACTTGTGGCGGAGCCTGTGACGTCACTTGTGTAGGTGTCTGTGACGTCACTTGTGTAGGTGCCTGTGACGTCACTTATGGAGGAGCCTGTGACGTCACTTGTGGCGGAGCCTGTGACGTCACTTGTGGCGGATCCTGTGACGTCACTTGTGGCAGAGCCTGTGACGTCACTTGTGGCGGAGCCTGTGACGTCACTTGTGGCAGAGCCTGTGACGTCACTTGTGGCGGAGCCTGTGACGTCACTTGTGGCGGAGCCTGTGACGTCACTTGTAGAGGGGCTTGTGACGTCACTTGTGGCGGAGCCTGTGACGTCACTTGTGGAGGGGCCAGTGACGTCACTTGTGGCGGAGCCTGTGACGTCAATTGTGGCGGAGCCTGTGACGTCACTTGTGGCAGAGCCTGTGACGTCACTAGTGGCGGAGCCTGTGACGTCACTTGTGGAGGGGCTTGTGACGTCACTTGTGGCAGAGCCTGTGACGTCACTTCTGGAGAAGCCAGTGACGTCACTTGTGGCGGAGCCTGTGACGGCACTTGTGGAGGAGCCCGTGACGTCACTTGTGGAGGAGCCTGTGACGTCACTTGTGGAGTGGCCAGTGACGTCACTTGTGGAGGGGCCAGTGACGTCACTTGTGGCAGAGCCTGTGACGTCACTTGTGGAGGTGCCTGTGACGTCACTTGTGGCGGAGCCTGTGACGTCACTTGTGGAGGAGCCCGTGACGTCACTTGTGGAGGAGCCAGTGACGTCGCTTGTGGAGGGGCTTGTGGCGGAGCCTGTGACGTCACTTGTGGCGGAGCCTGTGACGTCACTTGTGGCGGAGCCTGTGACGTCAGTAGTGGTGGAGACTGACGTCAGTAGTGGTGGAGACTGACGTCAGTAGTGGTGGAGACTGACGTCACTAGTGGTGGAGACTGACGTCACTAGTGGTGGAGACTGACGTCACTAGTGGTGGAGACTGACGTCACTAGTGGTGGAGACTGACGTCACTAGTGGTGGAGACTGACGTCACTAGTGGTGGAGACTGACGTCACTAGTGGTGGAGGCTGACGTCAGTAGTGGTGGAGACTGACGTCACTAGTGGTGGAGACTGACGTCACTAGTGGTGGAGACTGACGTCACTAGTGGTGGAGACTGACGTCAGAGGCCAACAGTTGGTGACAAGGTTATATTTCCTAAGAGAGGAACTGCATGTGGCCTTCAGTTCTGTCCCTGATGTGCATGTGTGTTCTTACTCCTCACATGTAGGTACACACACACACACACACCACACACACACACACACACACACACACACACACACACACACACTTGTGGCTGTGTGTGCTGACAAGTGCTCACTTGTGCACACACACACACACACACACACACACACACACACACACACACACACACACACACACACAACACACACAACACACA